ACGAGGGTGGATTGAAAAGTGCTCGGCCTAACCAAGAAAATAAACACATACTAAATCAGTTATATTTTTATTTTTCTACATAATCACCATCAAGTTCAATACACTTTTGCCACCTCCCCTTCCAAGCATCCGTTGAAAAAAAATGATTCTTCCTTAGAGTCAAAATATGCGTCTACAGCTGCTTTGACCTCGTCGTTTGTCGAAAATCTTTGACCTCCCAAGTGCTTTTTTAGGTGAGGGAACAGAAAGAAGTCTGATGGTACCAGATCAGGTGAATACGGCGGATGCGGTAACAGTTCAAAGCCACAGTTGTGAATTTCAGCCATTGACTGTACTGACGTGTGAACACGGGCGTTATCTTGATGAAACAGGACTTTTCTTCTGAGCATTCCTCGACGTTTTTCTTTTATTTCCTCTCGTAAACGACGTAGTAAGGTGCAGTAGTAATCAGTTTATAGTCTGACCCCTTTCAAGATAATCAATCATAATCACACCTTTCGAGTCCCAGAATACTGAAGCCATCACCTTATTTGCCGACAAAATCGACTTAGCCTTTTATGGGGTGGTGAACCAGGTCTTCTACACTGTTTTGATTGTTGTTTTGTTTCCGGTGTACAGTAATGAACCCATGTTTCGTCCATAGTAACAAAACGATTCAAAAAATCATCCTTTCAACTCCAAACATTCGCGTGAAATAGTCAATCGCGTCCTTTTTTGTTCAACTGAAAGCAGTCGCGGAACCCACCTCGCAGACACCTTGTGGAAACCCAACTCGTTGACAATGATGTTTTGAGTTCGTTCATAAGAGATGCCTATAATCTCGGCTATCTCTCTAATTTTTAATCTGCGGTCTCCCATTATTAAATCAAGTACTTTTTTAATATTTTCGTCAGTAGTTGACGTCGAAGGCCTTCCAGAGCGGGGTTCATTTTTCACACTCTCTCTACCACGCTTAAATTCTGCTATCCATTTTTTGACGGATGAATATGACATAGCACAATTACCTAATGTACTGACCATGTCATCATGGATGGCTTTTGATGATAGCCCCTTCTTATGGAGGTACTTAATGACGGCACGCTGCTCGATTTGCTCCATTCGCGGAAATTATGTCCGATTACTTTGTTAATAAATTTATAAAATCACAACTAATTATCGCACACGTTTCGAACTTCACACAATGAACTAGTCTGAACTGAACTAAATAATGTGGGTAGATTTGATTTTTAGAATTGAATGGATCTGTGTTAGGCCGAGTACTTTTCAATCCACCCTCGTATGTCAAAGTCATAAATGATAATTAAAAGATAAAATGATAATTGTTTAAAAATCATTTTGTAATGTTACTTACTCAGTTTTGTCAGCCGATCTTACCGCATGACGCAGCTGAATCCTCGGGGATAATAATAAGACTTGAAAAATGCTCTGCCCTGAATGTTAGAACACATCTATGAAATAGTTTCGTTAGCTTTTCATTAAGGTCGGTTAATTGAATTTAAACTTCTTACAGTTTATTCTGTAACTTTATTTACGAAATGTGAATTAAACCTTTCACAATATTAAAAAAATAAAAATGAATAAATAGAGAAAAAAGACAGTTATAATTACGTAGTTCGCCTAAATTATATAAAGAGCTTCAAGAGGTTTATTATATGAGTGAAAAAAATGAATTTCAGAATTTTTATAATTGTAACAATTTATAAATTTAAAAAGTAAATTTTTGATCTTTAATGTAATAAAAATAAGGATGACAAGTGAGCACACAGTCCACGTGATGTCTAATAGACACCAGTACATATCTAGCATCACTAAAGGATCGACGTGCTGATGCGTTGCTTTCTCCGAGAACTAATATGAAATGCCGTGTTACAAGTAAAAAGGGTCTTTAGTTTTATGTCTTGTTTTGTGATTGTGTGTATTTGGTACATTGAAATTATTTTAACACAATGCAATATCCTCTTTTTAATTTTATAAAACATTGAAGCCGACTACAGCTATAAAGGAAACGTTTAGTAACTTATAATGACAACGACGTCGTAGCGAATGTTTCAAGCAGTGCTAATGGAGTGCTATATTTGTGCACCAAGTGCCTATATATTGAACGAAATACTCGCCCAATGCATAGCACATTCAACTTTAAGGTGGACCAACAGTTAATTTAAGTTTTTATAAGGCAATGGAATTTGTTTTATTTTATTATTATATCTAGTTTTGATTGTCTCTTGATTTTAGTGGATTGAAATTCAAGGTTGGGCCAAAAATCGATTTTTTTATAGGTTATCACCCTAACCTACCGAGTACACAGTCTACCTGATGGTAAGTAGTTGCTGTGGCCCATACACATCTACATTTATCCTTGATTACGAATCGTACTGCAGATGCGTTGTCACCCGTGAGTACTAAGATGGAATCCCCTATTTTCCAGTAAAAAGGGTCTCCGGTTCTCTACACTCACCTTACGAAACACAGCAGCATTAAGCTACTATTTTACACTGGTATTCTGTCAGAGCGTGGTCCTTCCCCGGTCGACCCAACCTAAACGTACTACAACTATACTACTGATATAATTGCAGCATGGCTCTACCACGTAAAAAAATTGAGGTTTTGATTAAAGTTGAGGATTGCGGTTTTTTGTCAAGAAATTCTTAGTAGCAGATGGAAGTCAGGAAACTAGCGGGTCTCATCCTCGTTCCTCGGAAAGCACGCAAAGCCGTTGGTCCTGCACGCTAATCTCTCTCTGATTGTATCGAATGGCCGTCTCACCGGTTTATGAGAGTGAAGAAACAGAGAGTACATCTATGCTTGCACCCAATGTATTCAACAATAACCTAAAGTTTTCGCTCGCTCCTTTCGTCATCGCACGTATATAAATACGACTCAGCCTTTAATTTGTGATTAAAAGATTTTGTTTTCTATTTATTTATATCAAAAGATATATATGACGGCGCGTCGAGAAAAAAGGCACCACAGCACCTTCAGTTCAACCTTGTCTATGGCCAATCAATCAATTTCGGAACGAAACAGAGTTTTGTCTCTGAAGTAACAGCGGACACTGGGGAGGCGGCCATCTTGTAAAAGACTTCACCGAGAGGAAGGCACTTTGTCGTGAATCATCGAACGGAGCGCACGCAACCACGTGTTTGGTGGACGTCATAGTTTTAATCAAAGTACATCGCGGCCATCTTTAGTAATTTCGTAATTTGTGAGTTTTATCGTATTGGGCATTAAACCACAATTTTATTTTTGGGAAAGAGATCATCTCTTTGCCCTTTGACCCACGCGTAAGAAATTACGATGGAAAACCCTCCTAGAGTGAACGCAATGCCTTTATCAGAAGTGGGATAAAGTTCTTCTTATGGCCCACATATAATCTTCGAATTGTGTAAGGGCCGTTGGCATATATGCGCTTGTACGTTTGTACCCTTGGTTTTTTTTAAGTTACATAACGTAATGAAAGTTGCTGTTCCTATTTACGACATTGACTTATCTTTAAAACATAGAGCAAAAGTTTAAAGTGAAATGTTTTAAGCCAAACGTTAAATCCTTTTGTTTGATTTATATCAAAAGTACCCGCAAGTACTTTCGTTACTTTTTATGTACCCAAATAAATTAACAAATGTTGAAAGTACAGTGGAAATTTAAGTTGCTCGAGTGATGTCATTATTTGTTTGTTCATGCGAAATATGATTTACTTGGGGTACATTTTAAAGTACGAAATGTTAAGCGATGTACCAAAAAAATGTCTAACTTTAATGTGCTATCGATTAAAAGAATAAGTAGCTATTTGTGTTCTAATGTGCTGATAAGTGTTACAGTTTACTTAGTAATGCTACCACGATGATCAATAAAGAAGGATGTCCATGAAAGCCAGTCGACAGCGATAGTGATACGTTATCGATCCTATAAAACTGAAACTGATAACTCCAATACTCTCACCCTCAAAGGTAATGTGTCAAATATGAGCGTATTCCGAGTTCAGGCGTATGCGTGTAAGTAAATTTCTTATCTCACTGTGTTATAGTTACTCGTATGAAAATCACTGTTTCGTTTCACGTTTAAAAGGTTGATGGTATCGAAGGGGCTCAAGATGCCCAGATCCATTAAAGTCATGGTGTGAAAGCTAGGGAGGAGAGCCTGATGCGCTCCGTCCATGTTACATGCAGTAGTCAGTAATTGTTTTAAGGGATTCGAACGCCTATTACATATACGTTGTACGTTGAGTCGAGAGGCGGCTGGATGAAGGGGCTCCGCACGCCCGGTCCACGCTGCGTATTGCTTGAGGTAGCTGGATGAAGGGGCCTCGCACGCCCGGTTTATGCTACATTTTGCCCGAAGTGGCTGGATGAAGGGGCCTCGCACGTCCCGTCCATGCTTCATATTGCCTGTGGTGGCTGGATAAAGAGGCTTCGCATGCCCGGTCCACGCTACATACGATTTTTGGATGATATTCGGATGATGGGGCTTCATACGACCAGTCGGAGGAATATTATATGGTCGCTGGTGTGTGGATGAAAGGGACATTGTTCGCCCGGTTCAGTCTACTACCATCGACCTAAATGAAGTCGGGAATGGCCGAGATTTGTAATATTTAACAAGTGTTAATATTTGTTTGCAGGTGGTGATCACTAATAGACCGTATTCCGACGGTCTACTGCCAACCGCACGAGGACGTGCGATAGTCAGGGTTGGCCGTGACGGCGCGTCGAGAAAAAAGGCACCACAGCACCTTCAGTTCAACCTTGTCTATGGCCAATCAATCAACTTTGGAACGAAACAGATTTTTGTCTCCGACGTAACACCGGACACTGGGGAGGCGGCCATCTTGTAAAAGACTTCACCGAGAGGAAGGCACCCTTGTCTTGAATCGTCAAACGGAGCGCTTGCAACCACGTATTCGGTGGACGTCATAGTTTTAACCAAAGTACACCGCGGCCATCTTTAGTTATTTCGTAATTGTGATTATACAATTTGTGAATTATATCGTATTGAGCATTAAACCACTATTTTATTTTTGGGAAAGAGATCATCTCCTTGCCCGTTGACCCACGTGTTAGAGGTTGCGATGGAAAACCCTCCTGGAGTGAACGCATTGCCTTTATATATAATTCGTTCTGTATATCATATTAGTTGTTTATATAAACATATCATGTTAATTGATCAATATGTCAAATGGTATAGTTACTAAATTTTAGATATAACAAATCGAATATCGAATAAAGTTATACAAACACTGTTATCCCTCATATTTGCGAAATAAATTTCCACATTACGCGAACCGATTTTTCTACAATTAACATAATATCAAACTTAAACATATTAATGATTGAATATCGTTTCGGAAGTCCACATTGAGTTTATAGTAAAATAGCAACCAAAAAGAAACATTCATTAATAAAGATAAAGATATATTCAATATAAATTATAATATATTTTCATTGTCGTTTCTTTATTAGGTATAAAATTAGATATGTATTGGGCTTCCAAGTAGGCAAGCTAGGAAATTCTAAGAAACAATGAACAAATATAACAATGATATTTTGGTAAATAATACAAATGTAACGAACATTTGTATTATTTACCAAAATATCATTATCATTGAATAAAGAAAAATCGGTAAAAATTTGGGCATTCAATTAAATGCTTAGGAATTTTACTCATTTCTTTAATGTTTTAAGGAACGTAGAATAGAATTACTGTAATCGTTTGTAGATTCGAGAATCGCAACTCTAATTAGTAGATTATAATTTGATAACTTGAACGAAACAATTATAATCGTTAGCTCTATTACAGTATGTACTCATTTCATGATAAAACGATTTTAAGAGATCACTTCGGGCACCCCTCTCGGCGATGATTAATTACGCAAACGGTCCTCTACAGATATTTTAATTGTTCTTTAGTGAAATTGGGCAGTTATTATTCGTGAAAAAAAAATTTAATTTATCCGAATAATCACGACTATCTAGAAGTATGATCCAAATTGCTATTGAAAGTGTAAAGTGTTGCCGTCAATTTTACATGGGAAATGAGGTACGTAACATAAGTGGCTGACAATTTGAAATAAAGTACTAAGTGTGCTAGAAAACGATATTTTTTGTTGATCTCTATTATTTCGAAACATATTTATAATGCTTTAATATTTTTTAATAATATTCTTAGAATTTTAAAATATTCTCCTGGGCTTTTAACCAAACCGTTTTAGTGCCCTGGTGATTACGAAAACTTAGACTGACTGATACTTTTAAATCAACCGTCAATGCTAAGGTCAAAATCCTACAGAAACGACGGATAGGTAGTTTACACTACATCACATAGTCCAGCCATAACACAGCATAACACAACAGAAGCACTGAAGGTTGCTTAAATAGTGTTTATGGTTTTCCAACACAAAAAGTATGTAAATAGGGTTTTGTACATAAATTAAGTATACTCAGAGCCAAGTAATGGTTTATATCTTGCTGATTCCGTAAAGAGTAAATTTTTAAAAAAAAAAATATGTCAATTCAAAACTTCACACACAAGAATATCTAAATGAGTTCATACCTTCGTTAGAGGCTGACAACGCACCTGCACTCCGATGTTGGAGATGTTCATGAACTCGTTTGCCCCCTTTTCGTTAAAAAGTGTGGTTTTGATTACTACATTCTTACACGCTCTTTATACACTTATAATTGCAATAACAAATAAACAAAAATCGAACTCGGGTTGCTTGTGGTAAAATTATTAAAAATTGTTTTTCTTGTCTGCAGCTAAAGTAACAAGAGTAGGTATGTTGATTTCTAAAAAAATCGTAATTATTTACTAAAGTAGAAACTTTTGTTTTTTAGGTTTAAGATGGTAGCTCCCAGACACCTTTTGAAATTAGGATGTTTTTTTTTAATTTCAATAGACTCACGAATCATCCTTGATGGGAATCAGTGTTCTTTCAAGAGGATTTGTGATGGATTTTGTACCCATTGTCATGGGAGGGACTGAGGTGTTCGATGTCTCAATGTCCCAATACTAACTTTTGGTCAGCTCTACGTGGTATGAAATTAACGTCTTGAAGTATTGTAGTTGCATGTTTGGATTTGGATTTAATTTTCTTAATTATTAATCATAGAATCCCAAGCCGATGGCAGCACCCAGTCATCTTCTCCATTGAAATTTGTACGTTTTTTTGATTTCGATTAATCGTAAATATGTAATATGTATGTTAATGTATGCAATAAAATCCGTAAAAATAGTTTAATTTAAATGTGTATAGTTTACATAAACATAGGTAAGAAATCAGTAATTAGGATTGATAAGGAAACTAACGCCTTTGCGAGGTCTATAAAGACGCCATTGTATTTGGAGACTTTGTAAAGAACATTTGTGAATATAATTTGTTGCAAACCAAAATTACGATCAATGTGCACTTTGTTTGTCTTCAAGAACCCTACAAGACTCTTAGGTGACACTAAAAGTTCAAGTTATTCTTGCGTTGTCGGCGGTCGAGTTGCAAATGATGGTTACATTAATGAACAGATCGTTAAAAGAAGGGGGTATGAAAGCGAACGCTAGTAAGACGAAAGTTACGGTTTTTGAAAGAGAAAAAAGTAAAACGATATGTGAAATAAGAAAAGAAGGGGAGTTGATCGAGCAAGTAGATGAATTTATATATATGGGATGTATATTCAGCAGGGATAGGAGATATGATAAGGATATTGAACGACGAGTGAATGCAGGAAATAAAGTAAATGGGGCTCTTCACTCTATTGTGAAATGTCAGACTGTATCAAAAAAGGCACGTATGGCAATTCACAATGCTGTATTAGTCCCTACATTAATGTATGGTAGTGAAAGTTGGGTGTGGCAAACGAAGCACGAGAGTAGAAAAGACGCAGTAGAAATGAGGTCGTTAAAAAGTATGTATGGGCTGAATCTGAGTGACAGGGTGAGAAATTGTGTGATAAGAGAAGATGATGTTGTGACCAGGATTAAGAAAGGAGTGCTTCGGTGGTTTAGTTATATGGAAAGAATGAATGAGGAAAGAGTGACAAACCAAATTTAAGTTGCAGTAGTGAAAGGCAGAGTCAGAAAGGGACGTCCTAGGCGAAAATTTATCGACCAAATTGGTGATATATTGAAAGTGGGCGAAATTAGAAGTACCCTTTACCGACTAGCATGTATGCGTAGGTATATGGATGTGGAGGAAGCGAGAGAGGTGTGTCAGGATCGTGCCAAATGGAAGTATGTAGTTCTGCCTACCCCCTGTGTGACAGGCCCGTGGTTTTATGTATGTATGTTATGTTTATGTTATGTTTTCAACACAGGCTGCTCGCCTTCACGCAACATGCGGATCGGTCAAGCGATTGATCCGAGTATATATCCGGTTTGTCGCTGTCACTAAACGATACTGTTATAATATATATGTGTATGAAGTTGTTAGTTTATTATTTTAATTGTTATGTGAGTTTCGTAGTGACAGACGATTGTTTTAGTGTGCGCAGTTTTCCTCGCAAAAATAACAGAGAGTTTTGTGTCGGGAAAACGCAATGTCCTCTCCCCTCTGGTTTGCTGGTGGCCCGAGTTGCTTCTAAAATAATTGCTGATTAACGATCCAAATATGTTTCGGTAAAAGATGCGTAAAGTAAACGTTAAAATATTACTGTTATATTTTATCTGTTCTAGCTGTCTAATAAATCAGGACTCAATTGTTGTTTCTTCAAATTAACTATTATTATAGGTAAGCGTTTGGCACGACGCCAAGAAGAGGTTAGCAACAGCTTACTACTAATTATGCTTATATTTTACATCAAGGCCGGCGATATACCATTAAATTGCTTTTATAATCATTAAGAAAATTAGATTTAAAATTTATTTTTAAACAACGACTCTTTTAAGTGAAATCCTGACGTAAAATTAAGCATATTAATTTTGTTGCTTAAAATAGACCATGAAGGATTTGTTATATACCCGTATTAATAAGTAAAGATGTTAATTACATAAACTTATCTTATACGTAGTAGAACCATGCTGCAGTTATAGTAGTAGTATAGTTGTAGCACGAATCTGTTGGCTCGATCGGGGAAGGACCATGCTCTCACCGAGATAGTAGCTTAATGCTACTGTGTTTCCCGTATTAATAAGTAAAGATGTTAATTACATAAACTTATCTTATACGTAATAGAACCATGCTGCAGTTATAGTAGTAGTATAGTTGTAGCACGAATCTGTTGGCTCGATCGGGGAAGGGCCATGCTCTCACCGAGATAGTAGCTTAATGCTACTGTGTTTCCTGTGGTGAGTGTAGAGAACCGGCGACCCTTTTTACTAAGAACGAGTCATTCCATTTTAGTCCTCACGGGTGGCAACGCATCTGCATTTTTATTTGAAATCGAGGATAGATGTAGATGTCTATGGGCCGCAGCAACCACTCACCGTCAGGTGTACTGCGTGCTATTTTATCACCCTATCCTATAAAAAAATACACTGCTATCATATTGAATTTTTAAAAACATATTCTATTAAAATATTTATAAATAATGTTTTATTGAAGACCTTGCCATGTCTGTTATACGAAGTGGTCCATTATCTATTTCGTATAGATTATGATTCTTACGATTATAATTATTACGATTATGAATTATGATTCTTATTATGATTATCACACTTCGTTCGAATTCCTTCTTCACGAAATCATTGACGAAAGTTAAAAAAATATTGCTAATACTTTATTGTTATCCAAAATTAGTTCTCCCAAGCCAAGCTCGCCGTGGTAAATTATAAGGAAGACATTGAATTTTCAATCCTAGAAACATTGCAACATGTTAAATAACATATGTCTTATTGTTTATCCAAAATAAAATAAAAATATCGATTTCCCATCAGTAAAGTTTTGCTTTAATTTAAGCATTTTTTTGAAATAAATTTAAAACCCTACAAATATACTATGAAACTGCCGCCTGACATTGCAACTTTTGCGCAGTCATTTGGAGTAAAATAAACTAAATGCCCAAAAAATCTTCAAGAGTCTTTAAAAGCACTCTCAATGTAGGTGACATCGTTACCGCATTGCTGTTTTATTTCAACTTTACTGCTGGTGTTTTTTTAAGTAAATGTGGAGAGTAGAACGTTTGGCTTCTTGCCCACGGCAAGGTCTATAGGAATATTTAACATTTATCCACCCTAAAGGAATATATAGGAAAAAAAAAAATTATATATAGAAATAAAAAATATATAGGAATCCTCCATAGGGGAGTAAAGTCGGAAGAACAAATAAAAGTGAATACTGATTATCCACCCTGTCTGGGTTGGATAGACTGACAAGCGTTTACGAGTATCCACACTAGTGTTGATTCTTTTGGGTAAATAAACGGAATAACCCTGTATATAAGCTATTACCAATATTTTATACGTTATATCCGATTCATTAGTCGACTCAGACAGGACTCAAAGCTCGGGTTATTCAAAACATTTAGTGAATGTAAGAAAATTGAGACTAAGTACGTAAAATTCACAGTGCGCAAGAAACTTTTTAATCGTCCGACACCAGTTAAATAGTTTTTAATGCAGTTTTAAGTGCTGATTTACTACATGCTACATCTTGTAAACTGGGTAATTCAAAAGGGACCCGTGGTAACTTACGGCAGTGATTTTCTCTCCATACTCCATCATCTTTGCATATTCGTCCTTGTAGTTGTCAATCTCTTCCTTGATGGTCTGATGTTGAGAGAGAAGTTTTTCGGCTTCCGTCAAGGAGCATGGTATATCTGAAGCATTAAACTACTATGATATATTTAAATAAAAATCCGACAGCAACAAAATATATTAATACCTTTAACTTTGATCTAACAAAATATGTAACTTTGATATTGAGTCATATAATATGGTAAACTAACCTTCTAACGCAACATCGGTCTGTGTCTTAATAAACCAGGCTTGGAAGTGGTCGACAGAACGCAAGAAGCGGTGCAAGTCGCCGGCCTCTTGGAGTTTTGCATCGCGTTCTTTGAGCTGCATTGAAAACAACAAAAATTAAGTAAAAATTAATTAATTCAGAAATAAAAACAAAAATTCATTCATATTTTGACTGAAAATTGGTCTTTTCTGTTTAAATTTTCTTGTAATTAATTGCCTCTCGTATTTTAAAATAGTTTTCATAGTAAATTTTCACCGTTAAATAACTAATTTTCATATAATTCGTTTTCTTATAATCGTATTTTATTTTCATCGAATTTTAAACACATACATATTGTTGCGCCTCTATGTCATTACCGTATTTTCCTGAAAATACACTCGTAAGATCAATGCTTTCGGCTCGAAATGTTATTCCTAAAAATTTTAATTTAATAAAAAATCTGTGTAATAGAGAAAACTTTTTAAAATTAATAAAAAGTATTTTGTATTATATAAAATATAAAAAAATGCGTAATCTTTTTTTACAAAAAATAAAACTGACAGGGCTGTTTGTAATAAAATTAATATATTATGATTTTCGTACATTTTAGCATACTTAATTAGATTACTTACTGTTATTGCAAAATGTGAAATGTGATAATTTATATTCCCAACTTTCGTTCTTAGTTAGCGACCCATTTTCGTTGCTCACAAATATGTAATTGTGGGCAAAATCTAGTTTTATGTTATTGTACTGACAAAATAGTCAATGAATGAATTGCGAAATGAACATTACTATTAGTTCCTTCAATTACTTTTTAAATTATATAAAACTATCTATTTGAACTGTCTAATTTATTGTTGAACAACGCATCAAGGTAGTTGAACTCAAACTATACGCATAGTAAGGGAGATGTATTGAAAGCTATGTGCCTTACAACTTTTCCAACGCCATTATGCAAGTCTAGTGCCTTCTAGCATAGTGTGCCTTTTAAAATGCTGTTACCGCTTAAAGAACCGAAGCTACCTGAATCTGTGTAGATTTGGCACTTTGCCAGCGCACACCTTAATATGTATACACATGATCATGTTCCGAATTCAAAAACTTTGTTATTTAATGTCTGACACTTACCAAATATTATAGAATATGGAAAATATTAAGAGCATACTATGCTTATAATTTTAAATAACCAGAGCAAGCCAAATAACTAAGTCACTTTAAGTGGCGCGGTGGCTTAGCAATGAGTTGCAGTGTTAAGCTCTGCGTTATTGAATCCCGTGAAGTATATCTACGGTCTACAACCACACGAGCAGCCCGTGTGCGAGCCCCTTTGCACCAATTAAATTGTTAATTGCAATTTTAAGTGCCGATTTACTATATGCTCGGCGATGAAGGAAAACATCGCGAGGCAACTTGCAGGTCCGAGAAAAAAAATATTTTAGAGATATGTAAAGTCCACCAACACGCATTGCGGCAACGAGGCAGACACTTCCATGTCCTAAAACTCTCTCAGAATTGAGAGGAGGCTTGTGCCCAGCAGTGGAACGTATATATGCTGTAATTTTATTTTACTGCAATTTTACTCACATAGACTTATTTTCCAAAATTTTAGTTAAAATTTTTTAACTAAAATCTTCTTTTATTATTATTAGCTTAGTGTAAGATGCAGCCGGACGTTCCACTGAAGAGTGCAGGCAACCATTCATTGCTAAAAGGGTTACGAAGCAATTTATTGGCCGCGCTGTTACGGTGTTTTATGAAATATTTTATTCCTCAGTCATGCAGCCCTACTCAAGATATAGCATGTCTAGTTTATAAGATTTTATATAAATTAATAATTTTATCATATCTAATTGACAAAATTTGTAACTGTAACACGAAACAACTATCCTCTCACCTAATATAGGAAAAACCAAAACTGTTTTCCATCGCTCCATCTGGCTTCGAGCCAGCGTGTGCTATTCAGATCCTGCCAACACCTGTACACATATTCTGTTTTGTTACATTGAAGTGAAGTTTAAAGCATTCATGTGAATAAATACAATATTCTTTATCTACTGTCAGTATTGTAAAAAGTAAATTTTATAGAATAAGAGTGACAAATGAGAACACAGTTCATTTGATATTAAGCGGATGCCGTGGCCCATGACGTCTACATCTATCCTCCATAAACAATCAGAATACAGATTCGTTGTGATACCTGAGGACTGATATGGACAACCCCGTTTACGTGAAAGAGATTCCCTGATTCTCTACACTCAAAATACGAAACATAGCAGCATTAAGCTACTATTTTACGCTGGTATACTGTGAGAGCATAATTCTATACCGGTCGAACCGACCCATTCGCGCTACCATAATACCACGTATATTTGTGTAATTGTAGTTTTATCGTATTACAGTATGGATGTATTATAATTAATGCGTAGTGCGTTGCGTCGTGTTATATATGATAACGAAATGATTAATTGCATACGGAAAATATCAAGTTGAACATTCGCTGTTTAGGCCTTATCGGGACTTTAGAAATAAAATGAGTGGACTGTATTAACAATAGATTTAATGCCGTAAAACCTCTAAACAAATATAAATGATCAAAACCTCCCACGCGTCCATCATTTTGGCCGAGGCGCGATGAGGTGCGCCGACATTCGCTCTCACCGTACATTTTTTAACGCTAACATCTCATCAAATTTCACGTACGAGTATAGGATAATCGTATACGTTTAAACCCCAATTGCTTTATTACCTCTTGTGCTTTCTGCGTTTGATGAGTTTTATATCCATTTCAAGTTCTAAATTACCACGCGATTGAGGCCCCCCACATGCACGTAGTAACAAGACCAGTCCAAGAGATAGCGGATTTCAAATCTTTGTAATAACGCACGATCGTTTCGTTTAATACCAAAAATGTGGTAAATCAGTAGCACCTTAGTGGTCACTTAGCGGTCAGCCGCCGTAGAGAGCCGCCTGAGGATGCCTCGTGTAGAGGCGAAACACGTGTCATATTATCGTCAACGGTGTGTCTTTCCTGGAATATTGGTGTTGGGAGTAGTGGTGCCGGGAGTAGTGGTGTTGGAAGTAGTGGTGCTGGGATTAGTGGTGACGGGATTGGTGCACGCAATTGACGGAGGGCGGGAGGTGCTCTTCAATCCAGGTAAGACACATCATTGTATTTTGTTTGCAAATTAATTAATATTTTTATTATTCACTTTATAACTGATATTTTCAAAAAATGTCATAATACCGACAGGTAATTATTATCGTTCATAATATACTCATTAAAAGCACTTTGCTGAAGTCAATTGTAGCAACAGCACGTACGTGACTGCGTGGGTATTCATTACGAGGCTTGAACGGCACGTGTTGGCGCATAATGTTGAAACGTTAGCGGGGATAATTTGTTACGTTTTAGGCAACCGAGCAGCTGAGTGATTTCGGAAAAACTTTAAAGCTACAGATTTTCAGTATTTAAAATGACCAGTACGGTAAATGCGTATGGGACAAATTTTACTTACTGTTCGGTATGTTACTTCCACACATGCCCTGTGATCCCAGAGAGGATAGGTAGAGTCCAATGTACACAGAATATACATGTTATACTATATATGAAATACTTAGTCTATGATGATTTCTAATGGCTCGAAGGGAATTAGATGCTAACGAGTGTGAAAGAAATGATCATTCAACCAAATCAAAATGAAGGTACATTTAAAGTGTTAATATTTACTCCTACAAATTGTTATGTTGAGTGAAATAAATTTTATGCATAACATTATTATCAAATATTTTGTTAACAATATAAAATTATTTCTTTATGTATTACCAGTCTGAGTCTGAGCAACAAGATGACATCGACGAAACAAATTCGGGCACGGGCAATGAAGAAAGCCACAGGGATGCTGATTTATTTGAAAAAATTAAATTTAATGTTTTTCGAAATTTATTATTCAGCATGTTATTTGACTAATTTTTATTTAAAGAATTTATTCTGTTATTATTTGTTCTAGTATTTATTCTGTTGTTATTTAATAAAAAAGTAAATTATTATACGCCGATCCGATTGATATCCAAATAGCTCCGCGCGCTAGATACCTGCATTTTGAGCGACTGCGGACCTCTGTTCCATTAACCGGTGGTCTGACTATTTTTTTCTGAAATTATATTATTTATATTATGTGACGTGCTGACTCGCCACATTCCACAGCAATACAGTCTGACCACTTTTCCACGCTATTTGTTCTATAAACTAGTTTACTGCCAATTTTCAAGTATTATAAAATACTTGTAGAGCATGTTGTAATTTTAAATACGTCAAAACGTCTTGCTGCAAGGTATTCCGCTACCTGACATTGCGAGTGGGTGGTTTATTCATGTACAACCTCAATACTATATAGTATTGAATTATTGGCCATTACAAAACTCTTGCTGATTTTTGTCGCCAGCTCTCCTATTTTCCTATCATAAAGGTTATTTTGATCTTTAACTTACAAATAAATCTTTAAGTGCGTACTAACTTTATTTTCTTATGTAGTAGTGTTTATGCATATTTATAATCAGATGTAGTGCGGACATACACACTATCTCTATTTAGTACATATTATGTTAAAAATCTATTCCTTAGACGTAGCATTTGTATCAAATTTATGTATTAAGAGTTATGAAAAGTATTGCTTAAGATAGCCCTCAATAATTTCTTCCCTAATCCACAATAGTTGTGTGAGAACGTTTGTCGAGGTCAGAGAGGCGTCATGAGTATTAGATAATTCGATCGATTCACACGCGCAACCCCCCTACGGCTTCCATATCGAATTTCAATATCCAATCGATCGTTTATACACTTCTGACTTATACTAATTGGGTTTCAGTAATAATATATCCTGGGAGAGTTCATAACACTGTTTAATGATAATATTTTCCTAAAATGTTATGATTTATTGAGTATGACTTCAATATTGAGTCATGGTACCTATTTCAATTAATAGTATCGGAATAAAACCAATTGGCGCTAGAGTTAGTTACTAGCACATTGTATTAAGTAAACTTGTTTATAATCATCTACCTACCTATTGTCTAAAATGTCATGATGAAACTTACATCTCTCGAAATATAACAA